AATCTTAAAAAAAATAAAAATAAAAAAATCTGTATCCTCAGTAACTTAAAAAAAAAAAAAAAAGCAACTAGAAAACAGAGTTGAGTGATTTACCCAAGTCCAGGATCTTGAAATGCTACACCTGAGAAAATTAAGTGATTGAACATCACTTTTCTCAGCACCTGGTATAATCACATTTTTTAAGGTGCTTTTCAAACCAAGCAGCTCTGTCCTGTCAATTGCACATTACCACATTCTTGGCATTCAGACAGCTTGAAGGAACAATAGTCCTACGTAATAAAAAGCTTGATTCCCAAGCTGACCTCCACACAGTATGCCAATTTAACAGACAAGAACAAGGATGTAGGAAGACTAACTAATAAAAACAAACCAGGAAATATTGATTTCAACCCAGAAGCATGGTGTTTCATTTAAAAGACAGCTCTTCAGAAAAGCCTTTCTTCTGTTGTCAAACAAGCATTGGAGCTTGTCTATCTTTCCAATCATTCAATTAGAATAGGGACAAAAGAGTGATACAGTCCTGGCTTTCAAGAAAACATTAGGGTATAGCGTGGATGCAGGGTTGGGTCTCACTCTTCTTTCAGATTGCCAGCTTTAATTTCGACTGCCTGAAAAAAAAAAAAAGAGGAGATATCCTTTCTCCTTATACATTTAGCTGTTTCTCTTCTTTTCTCTCATAAGCAAAAACAGAGGGGTCTAAGTCCAGCTAATAGCATCAAATTTAACATGAAGGTGTTCTATATGGCTAAAGTTTTTCACTTTCTAAAGTCAAAGGAGTTGGACTGACACTTTGTTTTCTAACTTAACATACTACTTGGAATACAAATGAAAGTACAAATTGGAGTTGATTGATTCTGCCTGAAAGCACTAAATTTAAGAGTCTTCTAAGTGTAAAGGTTTATATCTTTTATTTGTTTACCTGGTCTCAAAAGATAATTGCAGTAAGTAATATCTTAGGCTAGTATTAGGTCTCAAAAGGTAACTGCAAAAAAAAAAAGGTAACAGCAGTAAGCAATCTCTTTGACCAATTTAATGAAAAGAAAGTTTTCAAGTGTGCATATGTGATCTAATGTGTAACACTCCGATATATGTAGTGATGTAGAGAGGTCAAATAAGTAACTTCAAATTAAGATTTAAGCAAATGATTACTGAGCAACTCAAGTAATATTGAGAGTAAAATATTACAAATGTTAAGCATATGATTGCTTATCAGGGTGATGGGGTAATGAGGCATATTGGTGTACTCGTAACCATTTGTGATTTTGCTTCTATCGTTGTGCACGCTAGGAGTACTTAAACATATCAGGTAAATTCCTGCTATTTTTGAAGTAGAGTATAAATGTAAATATCCTGAGCTATGCCAGATCTATGAATAATTTTAGTCATAAGTAATTTTGCCTCAGGGATATAGACACATGGTCTAAATAAATTCATCCATTTCTGTTACCCTGAAAGAAAAGTCCATGTATGAAATGCCATTGCTCATAAAGCATAAAGGCAGAGAGAGTCAATTGTAATTCCAATGGATATTGCTTAAATAGAAAATTTTGTGCCACAAATTTAAAATTCTAGAATCAACCTCACCCAGATCTCTTGTCACATGTAACTTTGAAGTCTTGTCAGCACAGCTACCTAATTTATATGAAGCACCCTGGAGTCAGTGTCTCTTTGTAGTGTTATTTGTCAAATGATTCAAGCACTGCTTTAAAGTATATGTGAGTTTCTAATCAATCCCAGGGCATTTAAATTGTATGCGATGCTATACACAATTTTTCCCTCTAAGTATGTGAAATTTTAAATTATATTTGCCTTTGATATCTTTATTTTTCTCTATTTTAGAAGTATCGCAGGAAGGGATAAAGCTACCATAAAGTAAATATTTGATATTCTGCTAAAGGAGAAAGGACCTAGCAAGAATTTGAGAGGGTGTGTGTGTATGTGTGTATGTTTATGTCTATGTGTGTCTGTGGGTATATGGACTCTTCCGTGAGAAAAAGAAATGCAATGGGGTCAGGGAGGAGGGGAATTCTGATCAAATTAAAATACTCCCCAACTTTGTATTTCTTTGTTAATAATGTGGAGCCTCTTCTATATCCACATCAGGTTAGAAATTGGGGTTACTGGTTACAGACCCTCTCATTCTCTCATCTTAAGTGTTATGATTCAAAATCTTCACAAAAATTTTGGCCTGGATTCTGCAGTTATGACCTCAAAATTATTTTATTATTTACGATCTTCTGGAACCATATGGTACAGATCTCTACTATAAAACTGATTACTTTTCTAAGATAACTGAATAATAAAAATCAATCAAGTAGTATGAAGAGTAAACTCATAGCTATGTGCATAAGTTTGAGACAGAAGGAAATGGATAAAGAGAACCAGAATGAGACATATGTATTTATCTGTCAATACATCCATATCTATAAATATTTATATTTATACACATAGATGCCATGCATACGTCACATGCACACATACACAGAAAGGGAGAGAGATTAAGTTAGCAGAGATACTACCTGGAGACAGTTCATTGAAAAGCAGAAAAACTCAGATTTGGGGGGGACCACATTCTCTGCTGACTTTATAACTTAATAACTTAATAATTCCAGTTAACAATCCAAGGATGGCGACCAGGCTACCAAGAAAAAGAGGAAAATAAACACGACTATCCATGCCACTCAAAGAAAAAGTTGGAAACTAGTTAATGGGTCTAATTTTGTGAAGACAGCACTTCACTGCAACTGTTAAGAGACAAGTCAACATAAGATCAGAGAAAGTTAACATTTCATGAGTTCATAAAAACTGTCAAGAGCTCTAGAATTTCCTGTCACTTATGAATGCAAAGTACTCAATGGGAATATCCGAATATGGATAAAATAATTTTTAGATAAGCATGTAACATCCTAAAAGCTATCTCAGGATTGAAGCTGATAACCAATAGGCACTACCAAAGTTCAAAGATTGTTAAATATTGAAATCACATCAGCTTAATCACCTGGAGTGTATTTCTACCTGGGTTCCTTGCCTTTGCACCAACCGGCACTAAATCCATGTCCTTTCCTATTTGTCTGCGCTCTGTGTCAACAAGAACCATCATGCTTTTTGTTTTGTTCCCAACCCCCCCAAATGGGGGCTTAGGAAGGTCAATTTCTGCCTTCAGTGAGACTTCCTTTACTGACGTTTCCAAGGAGTCTGAAGAAAGAAAGGGAGATGAGGCAGTTGGGCAGTAATGGGGAACACTCCAAACACCAACCCAGTGGTGCAGGCTCCAACTACTCAGCAGAACATCCCATGAGAGAAAGGAACCTATGGGAGACAGTAGGAGCAGTAGTAGGGGGTTGTGACCTGGGCCAGGGAAGCCCAGTGAGGATCCCCGTTTAATTATCTTTTTGAGAGGCACCTGAGTGGTTCAGTTGGTTAAGCATCTGATCCTTGATTTTGGCTCATAATCTCAGGGTCATGAGATTGATTGAGCCCTGCATAGGGCTCGGTGTTGGGTATGGAGTTTGCTTAAGATGTTCTTTTTACCCCCACCACCTCCCGCCCCCACCCCAAGCTCTTTGTCTCTCAAAAAAAAGTAACTATCTTTGCTGAATTTCATTACCATTCAACTTTCTTGAAATACACACAAGCCCTCAGGTTTGTAACATTAGCAAGATTAATATTATCTTTACTAATAAATATAAAGAACTAACTATCCCAATGTCATTATGTTCTAAAATATTCTAAACACACACAGGTACACATAGTTGTGCACACATACATACACTGATATAATTTGAGCACTAAAGTTATCATTATCATTTCAATCATTTAGATGAAGGAAAATTGGAGGCATAGTGTTTATTTAACTATGGAATGATGGAGGCAGGATTCAACCCAAACAGACGAAGAGCAGAGGCCAATTTCCATGCTAACTGTTCTGACCCCACAAGGCTCAGGAAGACTTAATTGATAAGATAGATATCCCATGAGCTGTTCCCAAACTCAAATTTGGGAAACACTAGGTCAAGCTTATCTCATTTTTTTTAATGTAGGCCACTTGAGTATTTTTAAACTATGTTCTTAAAATAATATGTATTATGATTGCAAATCAAGTCATTCAAAGAGATTGTGCTTAAAATAGTCTTCATAAAATCCTTCCCTGCTCTCAGCCTTGCTTTTTGATTTCTGCTTTTGTTTTTGCTTTTTTTTTTTTTAAAGATTTTTATTTATTTATTCATGAAAACACATAGAGAGAGAGAGAGAGAGAGAGAGGCAGAGACACAGGCAGACGGAGAAGCAGGCTCCATGCAGGGAGCCTGATGTGGGACTCGATCCTGGGTCTCCAGGAACGCGTCCTGGGCTGAATGTGGTGCTAAACCGCTGAGCCACCCAGGCTGCCCGGCCACCCAGGCTGCCCTTGTTTTTGCTTTTTAATTTCAGTTGGTGATTGACTTTAATAGCCCTAATATTAGAATAATGACTTCAATAACTTCTAAATAATATGTGGACAGCACTATTTCTTGATGTATATACTTTTGAGAATTACAAACCCTAAAGAAAATAATTTAATTTACTTATAACTTTCCCCTTGTTTCATTGTATAGTTGATATCTACATCTTAGTTCCTCTTTTGCATATCTTCTTCATATTTGCATTTAAATGATACCCCTGAATTGTATTTGTCCATTACCTTTAATCAGCTTTTCTCACTGTCTGCACCCCACTTTTTCTTCCACTCTCCTGACCCACTTTCCTCCGCCTATCCTACCACCACCTAGGTAGGACACACAGCTTTACTTTTATGTCACTAAGGTCAGTTTTTACATTGTCTTCTGCTGCCACAACCCGTGCCTTCTATTTGAAGACCACTGAGAAATCAAATAGTGTGAGATCATGTTATTATGTGAACTTGACTTTAGGCATGGGGATCACACATCTTACAACATAGCTCTTGTTCAGATGCATATTCTTTGAAGATGTAAACAATGTTCCAAGACCTCAAACTACAGTACCTGTAACTTTCAGCTTTTCAGCCCCAATGGTAATCTCATCTTCATCTGCAGAGAACAGCACCCTGCCATCTTCACTCGCTCTCACTTCAAATCTTTTACACTGAGCTTCCACAGCATCAGCTCCTAGGGTCAGAGGAAAGGTTTAAAAGTGAAACTGGTATGCAGGAAACCATTAACATGTATCTTTTTTCTTTAGAAACAGAGGAGAAACACATGGATTACTTAGTTATTTTATGTCTGCAGTACGTTTTACATCTGAATTAGTATTTTTAAATTGTTACCTTTTCCAGTGGGCTAATTTGATAGTTTGCTGGGCTAGGAGGTTGGGCATACATATGACCTCTAAATACGTGACATAGGCCTAACAAAGTTTGTAGGTTTAGCTAGTTAAAAACAACAACAACAATGAAAAGAAAAAAAAAAAAAACTTTGCATATACACAAAGAGAGATTATATCTGCTTTGTTCTTGGTTGTAGCTTGAAAACTTGGCATTATACCTGGCACGCACTGGATGCTCAATCAATACCTGTGGACCCAATGACTCCCATGTTCTCTCTGCAAGCAAACAATAGTGCCCATGGTCGCTGCATCACAAGGTACTTGGAGAGCATTACTCAATTATGAATCTTTAGCTACTCTACATTTCGTATATACTACTATTGAAGATTGTTCCACCTTTACTATCACTGAATGTGAATACATGTTAACAGCCAATCTTGCAAATATATCTATATATGTAATGTTTCCAAATGTATTTTCTCACCAATAATTTTCTTGATTTATTAAAATATAGAATTAAATAAATTCAGTTACAGTACAAAATTGGAAATCTGTTTCTGATTTATTGGACAATTTTGCATATTAATCCATCTGAAAATCACAAAGGCAGCTTCCATATTTGGAAAACATGATTAATTTGTGAGTTTGAAGGCTTCAACAGAAGATCAAACTGGTCAGAGGGTGAGGAATTGCTTTTTCCATATTTCCAATTTATTTCTTTTGGCATAACATGTTTGGCATATGCTACATCTCCCCCTCCTGTTAAGATCTGGAGCATCTCTCCTTGCTATCTACATCAGAAACTCTCATCAGATACAATTCAGCCCGGTCAGGGACCCAGGCACATCACACTTGTGCATATATCTTCTCATTTACTTTACATATGCTATGGAGTGAATGTTTGTGTCTGCCAAAAACTCTTATGTTGAAATTCAAGCTCACTATGTGATGGTATTAGGAAAGGCCATCTTTGAGAGGGGATTAGGTCAGGAGGGCAGAGCCCTCATGGATGGATTAGTGACCTTATAAAGTCTGCCTTTTCTCTCTCTGCAATCTGTCAAGTGAGGACACAGTGAGAAGCCAGCTATGTACAGGCCAGGAAGCAGCCTCTCAACCAGACGCTGGATATGTTAGTGCCTTGCTATTGGAATTCCCAGCATGTAGAGCTGTGAGAAATAAATTTCTGTTGTTTAAACCACCGAGACTATTGTATTTTAGCAGAGCAGCCCAAGCAGACTGTGACAATATATTACCACTATTTTTTAGATATATGACCCAGGAATTCAAAACATGAGATCCTCTTTGTATTCCAAAATATCCTCCAAATTTAAAATTGGGTCTGATTTCTAGGAGTACCTAGGGTAAGAAGCTAGATAGGTGAATGAATACGAGATATAAGCTTCCTGTCCCTTTCTTAGGCCCTCAACCCACCACAGCCCTGCTCCCAGTCCTAGCCCAGGGGTTTTAATATCTTACACTTTCCCACTATCATAGCTTCTGAGAGGCATGTAAGAGGAAACATTAATTATAATCCCTAATAACATGTGGGAAAACTTCTCTGTAAACAAAATGTATATTTTTCTCCTACTATAAGAAACTACATGTTTTCAGGTCCACATAGAAAATTTTAAAAGTTTTAACTATGACAATGCTAAGATAAAACTTAGCTAACCTTGCAGGCTGTCAAGATCAAAACAGCATGAATTGTACTTTAACATCAGTTATATATATATATATATATATATATATATATATATATATATAGCAAAGCAAAGTGTCTTTCTTATGAAATTTAATGACAATATTGGACAAACCATGGAAGAACCTATTGTCCTTGGTGACAGTCATTGTGTTTGATCTGCCAAGCATTATTTCAGCAGCCTGTATTCAGTTGAGTATGTCTTCTGCTAATCATGATCTAACCTTCCTGTATCGTGCTTTTAATCTTTAAACCATAGTAACCCAACTGAGTGATGTTCAAAAAACCATGCTTGGGGCTGGATGTGTTGATAATTGTGACTTCTAAATTTGAAGGCCTCTATTTCTCAATCTTCAAGGCACTCAGACATACACTAAATCCGAACTGCCTGAAGGATATTTTAGATATTATACATATAAAGCCTGTTAACATGTGCATTACATTGCTATCTTTAAATATAGTTATACTTCAAATATATTATATTGGGTGAATTGATCCACAAGGTAGATCAGTGCCTTTAACAACACTGAAGTGCATCAGATCTATCTATCTATCTACACATATATAATATATATAGATATAAAATATATATATCCACACACATGCTGTGTATGGTCACAAATTTATAAGACTATCTTGACGTAACATTTAATGCCATTATATGGAAGATACTTTACTAATATAAATATGCTATATTGTATGTCACATAAACTAGTAGAAATATAAGTAGAGTACCCAGATATGGTAAAGTTAGTTGAAATCTTAATTCATTAAATTCAAGTAAGCAAAAGCAAATAAGCAAGTAAAACAATATATGCACACCTGGAATTAAAAAAAATGTGTATCTAGGCCATAAATAAATACATACATGCAGAAACGTTCAATTAAAAATAGATATATAAATTAATACTGCAGACTACACTTTATTCAACCTATTAGTAAAATTTCAGAAGGCAAAACTGCAAGCAATTCGCAATACATTTACAGTAAATATTTTGAATCAGGAAATAACTGAATATATTGTGCTTCTGTATGTTGCTTTTCTACAAAGAACAACCAGTAAATGCAGATAATTAGAAACATACTGCACTGTTGTGGATATTTATATTTAAAGTTAATACATTAGGCTATATGAAATTGAAGTTACTATGTCATAACATGTTTTGTGTTGTCTTATTCTGTTTTTCATGTTCCTACCTCCATATATTTGCTAAGCTAAGTCAACTTAGGATCCAGTTGTTCAGAGCGGCAGTAAATACTAAGTTCCATTTTTTTCTCCACCAGCAATGCTTCCAGAGTTGCAGAAAAGCAATATGCCTGATGACTGTGGATAAGGAGCTTTGATCTTAGCCAATAGATTATGGGAAATAGGGTTATCTGGACAAGTTCTATATTTTTCTAGTCATCTCAAACACTAACTTCCTAACTAAAGTCTCAAGACTAAATGCTTCCTTAAGAATATCTGAAAAATGGGCAGCCCCGGTGGCCCAGTGGTTTGGCACCACCTTCGGCCCAGGGTGTAATCCTGGAGACCCAGGATCGAGTCCCATGTCAGGCTCCCTGCATGAAGCCCTCTTCTCCCTCTGCTTGTGTCTCTACCTTTCTCTATCTCTGCATCTGTCATGAATTAAAAAAAAAAAAAAAGAATATCTGAGAAACTTATGTTAGCACTTCAAAATTAAATGGAGAGCAGTCAGGGATAAAATAAGTAAAGAGAATTGGAAGGAAAAAGAGAGAAAACATGAAAGTAAAATCATAGTTTCCACAAAAGGGTTGAAGTATTCAATATATATCCAAATATTTTCTCTAGTTCATTTAATGTTCTGTATATATTCTTTAAAAACAAACAAAGCCACAACAAAGCTAATTTCTTACTCTCCTCAGAGATGGCTCCATTGGCTTTTTGGAGCATTCACATTTCTTATAGTCATATTCAGTAGCCAAAGGCATATTTGCTGACAAATAGAGAGGCTCCAGTAATTTATCTACTGTCTTTGCATTTTCTACATTTCATCAGTCAAACACATGAATTGGAAAATTTTCTTCAATAAAAATCTCTACAGGGGCTCAAACAATATATTTCCATGGGGCCTCTTGGTACTATTTAGTCCTAATTTAAAGAAAACAAGGCAAAGATCAAAATGGATATGTCTAATTATCTCTGGTGTGTTTTCCTCAAGCATATCATGATGGATCTTTCTTCCAATATAACTCTGATTTTACATATTGTCAATATTTTCAAGGTCTTGAGGAAGGGAATTATTAAAAGATTAGAAACTCCCACAAGAAAAACAAAAACAAGAGTCAATACAGTCAACTAAATTTAGAGTTCTGAAATTCCTGTTTTAGAATTATCATCGGCTCCAAAAAAGAAAAACCAAAGAAGCTGAAACAAAAGAAGCTGCTTTCCTGACATATAAATACAAGTAAGCATTGTACTTATTTTATTTTACACTGTGTATGTCATTAAAAACTCTCATTTGGCAAGTGTACTCTGAGTGAACTTAGGGAGAGAAGGAGAAGCAGAATGAGGGAAAGGTCACAGGGGCGGGGGTGGGAGATTTATCTCGGAACAAGGAATCCTGAGCCTTTGGCAATTGCAATCTACAATCCTGGACAAGGGATCCTGTCAGAGATTAGCACACCCACACCCCACCTCTGCATCATACCCCCAACCACAGGGACTGATTTCTGTTTCAGAATCGGAGGAGTAACCATTCTTTCTTCAGCAAATAAGGTAGCTCAGCTCTATGAACCCTGAAGTTACATTCACCCTTATATCCCTACCTGGGTCTTCCTACCATTCTGTGTCTAGATCAGTGCCCTGTACACAGTTATTCTTCAATCCAAGTTTGTTTTTACAAAACAAATGAGCAAAATGGAGGGGGGAATGGAGAGAGGGAGGCAAGCCAGGAAACAACCTCTTAATGTAGAGAACAAATTTATGGTTGCCAGAGGGAAGGGGATGGAGGGATGAGTAAAATAGGGGATGGGGATTAAGGAGTGTACTTGTGGTGGGGGCCTGGTGTTGTATGGAAGTATTGAATCACTATATTGTACACCTGAAACTAATATTATACTGTACGTTAACTACCTGGAATTTAAATAAAAACTTTTTTAAAAAAAGTTTGTTTTTAAACTGAA